TAACCCTTGTCATATGCAACCAGTTCCCTTCAGAGATCGAGTTACGTTCGGTCCACTTCAAGAGTCAGTGGCCACATGGTTCTGTTTAATATTGAAATATGGAGATGAATCGAATGCCAAAACAAACCCATATAATTTACTTTATAAATATTTAAAAGACAGCTAAGTAACCAGCGAGATTTTTAAGAAATCTAAAAATAACTGATGAAAATCTAGGCCACTTAGGGGTTAAGTCCATGGTCATATGTCCTCTCCCCAAACCCCTCTTAATTGGCCTGAGTATAGGTGCAGTACTCACTTAAAGTCACACGAACATACATACTGTAATGACCAAAGTAGACATGAATCTGCGTAGGTAACAAGAAGACTTCAGTCATTGATAATATTAAAAATGTAACGTAAGCTGTCACAAGAAGGCTTCAGTCATTGCTGATAGTACAAATGTCAAGTAAGCTGCCACTATAAGGCCTCATTCATTGCCAATAGTAAAAGTGTCACTTAATTTGACACTACAAGGTTTCAGTCATTGCTAATAGTAAAAACTTTACGTAAGCAGCCATTAGAAGGCTTCAGTCATTGATAATATTAGAAATGTCACGTAAACTGTCATTAGAAGGATTCAGTCATGTACAAGATCAAAAATGTCACGTAAGCTGCCACTAGAAGGCTTCAGTCATTGCTGGGAGTAAAATAGACACAGAGGCTGCCACTAGAAGGCTTAAGTCATTGATAATAGTAAAAATGTCACGCAAGCTGCCCTAGAAGATTTCAGTCATTGCTAATAGTAAAAATATAAAGTAAGCTGCCACTAGAAGACTTCAGTCATTGCTAATATTAAAAAAGATCAAGTAAGCTGCCACTAGAAGACTTCAGTCATTGATAATAGTAAAAAAGATCAAGTAAGCTGCCACTAGAAGACTTCAGTCATTGCTAATATTAAAAAAGATCAAGTAAGCTGCCACTAGAAGACCTCAGTCATTGCTAATAGTAAAAATGTCAAGTAAGCTGCCACTAGAATACTTCAGTCATTGCTAATAGTAAAAATGTCAAGTAAGCTGCCACTAGAATACTTCAGTCATTGCTAATAGTAAAAATGTCAAGTAAGCTGCCACTAGAAGGCTTAAGTCATTGATAAAAGTAAAAATGTCAAGTAAGCTGCCACTAGAAGACTTCAGTCATTGCTAATAGTAAAAATGTCACGTAAGCTGCCACTAGAAGGCTTAAGTCATTGATAATAGTAAAAATGTCAAGTAAGCTGCCACTAGAAGGCTTAAATCGTTGATAATAGTAAAAAATATCAAGTAAGCTGCCACTAGAAGACTTCAGTCATTGCTAATAGTAAAAATGTCAAGTAAGCTGCTATTGGAAGACCTCAGTCATTGCTAATAGTAAAAATGTCAAGTAAGCTGCCACTGGAAGACCTCAGTCATTGCTAATAGTAAAAATGTCAAGTAAGCTGCCACTAGAATACTTCAGTCATTGCTAATAGTAAAAATGTCAAGTAAGCTGCCACTAGAAGGCTTAAGTCATTGATAATAGTAAAAATGTCAAGTAAGCTGCCACTAGAAGACTTCAGTCATTGCTAATAGTAAAAATGTCATGTAAGCTGCCACTAGAAGACTTCAGTCATTGCTAATAATAAAAATGTCAAATAAGCTGCCACTAGAAGACTTCAGTCATTGCTAATAGTAAAAATGTCAAGTAAGCTGCCACTAGAAGATTTCAGTCATTGCTAATAGTAAAAATGTTAAGTAAGCTGCCACTAGAAGACTTCAGTCATTGCTAATAGTACAAATGTCAAGTAAGCTGCCACTGGAAGACTTCAGTCATAACTAATAGTAAAAATGTCAAGTAAGCTGCCACTAGAAGACTTCAGTCATTGCTAATAGTAAAAATGTCATGTAAGCTGCTACTAGAAGGCTTAAGTAATTGATAATAGTAAAAATGTCAAGTAAGTTGCCACTAGAAGACTTCAGTCATTGCTGAAAGCATGAACCATTCTTATAGTACAAATGCCAATAGAACAAGTAATTTATGTGTTGTTAGTTTGCAAAACCTAACAATAAATGATAAAGTCCAAAACATTACAAGCTCTATGAAACAAACCCGATAAATGTACAAGTGTATCCACAACAATCTGTTCTTATTTTCAAACCGTATTGGTTAGACCAAAAAAAAGGTGCGTAACCTCAACTTTATTTTGAAGGTTCACGTCAATATGAATGTTTAAGACTCTGCTAATCTCCTTATTTAAGTTCTAGAAACAAGTTTAGTTCTTCTTGTGGTAGCAGATAAAATGATGTTAATTATTTGTCTGATATAAACAAGGTAATCAGAATTTATTGCAATGCATAATATATTTTATGCCTATTTAAACTCGTGTGGCCAAAATATATTGTGACATTGACCACAAATGAGATATAAACTTATGATTTGGGAAATTACCTACTTTTCAGCCGTTTTCAAATATAATAAACGTATGTATGTGTAAGTCTATAGCGTCTCGATATTAGATTAAGGAAGTGTGCAAAGAACGATATTGACCCCATAAAAAAGACTAAATAAGTTCCGCATACTTCCCGATAATAACAGCAGGTTTTGAGGTTTAGACCGCTCCTCTCAATACCAACCCTAGAGTATAGAGTAGCCTTAAAGTTGATGCCTAGATAATGCATTTTGATCACTGATCTGAAGTTCAAAGAGTATCAAGGTCTGGTCATCCCCATGTATAGAAAAGGCATTGCGGATATTGTGATTAACGGTTTGCCCATGTGTATCTCCATCAATCAGACCGCTGGGTGGAAATTTACGAAACTGCAATTACATCTGCATTTCTCTGTCTTCTGTATTAATTTCCTTCTCTTTCTTTTTTCTTCATTACCCTCTCTCTCTCTCTCTCTCTCTCTCTCTCTCTCTCTCTCTCTCTCTCTCTCTCTCTCTCTCTCTCTCTCTCTCTCTCTCTCTCTCTCTCTCTCTCTCTCTCTCTCCCTATCTCTCTTCTGCATTTGCATCTTGCTTTCCGTTTTATGCATTTGCATTTTGATTTCCATTTATATTTCTTCTTTTTTAATTTGAAGTTTTCTCAATTATATTTGAATCTTATTCTTAAATTTAAACATTTAATTTCATTTCAGAACTAGATAGAGACTGTCTCATTAATTCTAAAGATTTTTGCATAAGAAGATAAGAAGTGTCAGTTTTTGACAAATACTTGACCAAAATATTTTTATTTTCATGTTTTCAAAAGTGATTTGATTTCAGAGAGAGAGAGAGAGAGAGAGAGAGAGAGAGAGAGAGAGAGAGAGAGAGAGAGAGAGAGAGAGAGAGAGAGAGAGAGAGAGAGAGAGAGAGAGAGAGAGAGAATACACGTTGACAAGCACAAGCATCTTTTCTTAAACAGTCAAACTCTTCCTGGGCCATCTTGGAAACAAAACGTCTAAACCCTAAATTACATTCTTGGTTTCACTATGAGAATCAAAAAGAACGGGATAAAGAAATTTCCGAACTAAAACGGATTTAAATTTCAAAACAATTTTAATTTTTCTGAAGTATTTCTGAAATATCTATCCCGGACAAGACCCCAATTTCTATCACTAATGCGTTAATAAATTAAGTATCAAACAGAAGTAAAACTAGCAAATTTTGTACAATTTCAAACAAAAACTATTATTAAGAATATGAACGAAAATATGAAAGGAACAGTATTATGAAGTGAATTCAGAATAATTCTGAAAATGTTCATATAAATTTCAGAATCGGCAATGTACTGGACAGCCAAAATGGCATTATCCAGAACTCCTTTAAATAATTGACAATAGTTCCATAGTAATATTATAATCCAATGAGCACTTTCGATTTAAATTGAATGATCCTAACAAATTGTTTTTCCTCTCAAATAATATTTAAATACAACCTGAACTACGTCTGTAGACTTGGTGTTACAACAAGAACACAACTATAAGAATACGGTAAGAAAAACAACCAGTGCGAACTACATATACACAGATTAAAAAGCTAAACATACATATTATCTATACTAACTACGTGACCAAACGCAAATTTAAAAAATCGTAGAACAACTCAAATCGTTTAAAATTCCCAATGTGAATTGACTTAATTATTCCAAGATATCGCCTGACCAACCTGTCGAATGAGAAAAAGCTTAAAGTTAGAAAATATATCCTTGACCTAAGACCTGGTCAAAAAATGAAATTATTTTATAGCAGAAATACAAGGGAAATGAGTTTTCAGCCTGATAATAAAATTCTGGATCTCTTACCTTTACCTCAAAAGCCTCTTCAGGCTAAATACTAGATCTCTTGCCTATACCTCAAAAGCCTCTTCAGGCTAAATACTGGATCTCTTGCCTATACCTCAAAAGCTTCTTCAGGCTAAATACTGGATCTCTTGCCTATACCTCAAAAGCCTCTTCAGGCTAAATACTGGATCTCTTGCCTATACCTCAAAAGCCTCTTCAGGCTAAATACTGGATCTCTTGCCTATGCATCAAGAGCCAAGCTCTTTACTATATTTATAGTAATAGACATTATCTTTTGACAAGTTAAAAGGTTCTAGAAATAATATTTTTATCCTCATCCTTATTCTATTTTTGTGCCTTAGCATTCTGTTGTTTATTTTAGACAATACTCATTCTTACCCTAACATCTTCAAGCAGAATCAGTCTCATTGTTTGTGTTTAGTTGCTCATTTTGATGAATTATTTGCTCCAAGTATTATTCACTGAATTTAATGGAGGTGTGGTGGTGTTAATTATTTTTAACGTAGCCTTAACAATTTTTCAGTCATATCGCTACAATGTCTGCAGTGTGGCAGTTTATAGTGATGTCTAGCTCTGGGGCATCATGCTGGCTATTGATACGTAGTATGATGCCCCACCCAGTAATTTTTTCCTGACACCAGGCAGACCAGTCCTAACATTAAATTCTTAATGCTGAGCGCCAAGCGAGGCAGCTGTTAGTACCATTTTTATAAGTTGTTGG